TAATACAGTCAATCAGAATTATTTTGGTTTAGAAGCCAGGTCACATCAGCCTGCAACACACAGTATAAACACTCTTTGCTCCCCAAAGTCCAATTAAGTCTCCCAAGCAATTACATAAGAACATGGGAGCTGAAATGAGAAAGGTATTTTTTAAGCAGTATCTTTATTTCTCCCCGAGTCTTTAAACATAAACACAGGTATCTTCAAAGGGTCATTCCCAGCCTCTCTCCCCAGAACCATCTTTTAAAAAAATTGACAGAGGAATGTGGTGGGACAAGCTTTGCGGATATTGGAATTTTTAAAGTTGTTAATAGTTGGTGTTTGTTTTATTTTTTTTTTCCTACAGAAAAACAGTTAAATGAAGTCCCTCTTTGCTGTCTTTTAACAGGTGGGATTCATCAGAAAAGATATTTTTCATTTGCTGGCATTTTAACAAATTGCAATTTCAAGTCCATTAATTAAAACATTAAAGTAGAAAAAAAAATTAAAATCGCTCTCGTGGGAATAACCACATTTCATCATTAATGTAAACCCAGCACTTTATAAATATTGGATTGCAGTGATACATCCCCATATGTCAAGGCTTTTGTTCATTCAAATAGTCACTAATTATTCTTAGAATTAGTTGTGATCTATTTTGATCCTAACAAGAAACAAGGTAATTAATGCCAAAATTTCCCCAAATTAATTCCAGTGGGATTGATTTACCAGAGTGGCTGTAATTTTTAGCCTTAGATCACACTATCAGCTGCAAAAAGGGGAATTCATCAACTTGGAAGGACAGTTTACTCTCCTAGTCAGTTTCCTCCTCCGTTTTCCAAATATTCAATAGAGTCAAAGGAGCAATATTTTCAGTGAGCACTGTTGAGTTTAGGCAAGCTGTCTTTGCCAAACACCACTGGTCTGCATTTACTACCATCAAAGCACGTCCCAGGGTCCAGACATGAAAGCATGTCCAGAGAATTCTCTCTGTTACTGAAGAGAGATTTAAGAATCTGAAGATATCAATATATTTAATTTAGAGTTCCAAGCTGTACCAGTTCTGTGGCAGGAGATGCTCAGAAACGCTTCAGCCTGAACAGCTCAGGCTGCTCCTGTCCCCTGGCCCTGCAAGGCATGAAAGACCCACGGGCTGCACATCCTTCTGCCTAGCCCACCCACAGCACCCACCCCTGAAACAACCTGCTCCTTCAGGCAATGGTTAGAACAGCATCTCAGCTGGAATTAATTCATTGCTCTGTTCAAGGAGATTCATAACTTTGCTCCCCTCTTTCCATCTGCTTTATGAAGCAGCAGAAATTACAAAAAATATGCAGGTAGTAATGGGATGACACGGATTGAGTCGGACCTTTCTGCTGGGTCAGGCAAGTAACCATACTAATAGATTAGGTAGTTGCATTCATTTTCTTTCAGTGCAAAGATCAGGTACAGTTCACATATTCACACCCAGGAGTAACTAGGTCCTACCTCTTGGTAGATGATCTCTCTGCATGTTGCTGCAGTAAAGCATCCTGGCATATCAACCACCTCAGAGTTAGCTCAGGCATCTCTATCTTGGCCCTGAGTTGCAAGGTGTAACAGATACGCACTAAAGTCTCTCCAGAAACAGCAGACACTGAAATCCAAGTATTTATGTACTCAAATGTTACTTATATTGAAATACTTTCTTTCCTTGGAAGACCTATCCATGCGTCCAGCTGGTTCAGTCCTGTTATCACTACAACATAGCTGAAAAGCATTCCTCTATAATAAATAATAGTAGTAATATACACATATATCAGCTCCACATAAATACCCAGGACACGATGGCCATTATAGTACAGGAATAAAATAAGGAAAATAAAACACATTATGTATAAAACAAAAAGAACACAAGAAATATATTTATCATTTTCAGATTTCCACTTTAGCTGTTTTATAGCTAGACTCCAGTGATACAATAATTGATCCCTTCAGAATTATTCAGAAAACTATGAACTGTTTCTGAACTGACACTTCAATATTAGATTTATTATTATTTTTATTATTTAAAATATATAGTAATTCATTGTCTGATTCTATAAGGTTTTACTGTTTGATTCTAAACCTGAAAAAGCAGAGCTAGCTGTAGAAAACCATGAGTTTCACTGCCAGATACTTGGTTTTCCCTTCCATCTTCACATCCGTTGAAGAGAAAGAAAAGAACTTCTATAATTTCATAGTAGCATTAATAATTGACTCTTTTGCAGATAACAGTAAAAAATGGTTTGGATTTTTGTTGGTTTGGCTTTTGGGCTTTTTTTTTTTCTTGTTTCCATTTTCATCCTCTGCAAGTAAAGCACATGCTTTTATCCACACCCAAACTGTTTCCCAATTGTTAGGAAATTCAGGGAACATTTCCAAACTCTGCTCAGCTTCCTTAATTAAACTTGTCAAACCTAGATGAGCATCCCTATGGGAAAGAGACATGGCTTTATGGAAGGTTAACATTCTTTTAACCTCCTTCAGAGCCAGTCATGTTGCTACCACCGGCATCCACAACTTGAACAACGTCTTACTAACATTGATGGATTACTCCAGCAAAATCCCGTCTAGTTAAAAGCATCTGAAAGACACCCAAGGGGAGAAACAGCATTAAAACAGAGATTTATTTATTTATTGTCGGGCAGGGACTCCCTCAGAAAGAAGTAAATCAAAGATATCTCACACAGTCTGAAGAAAGAGAAAAAGACAAGGGAATGACAAATTTCCATGGCCTTGAATCAAGAAAAACACTAGTTTGAAACAGAAAATCATAGTAGATTGTTTACAGACGATGATCACTTCAGGATGCCTGCAGAATAGTGAAAAAGTTAGGACTTAAGTGTATTTGTAAGATTGACTGTCTTAGAGCCTTTATTTAGACTCAAGAAAGTGCTGAAATACACTTGCTTTACTTATACAATTATGTAATAATTAATCCACAGCCAAAGAATATCTATGAATCACTTTTTTCTAATGCAGCCATCTGCTAGAAGGTAATGTTCCTGAATGAAAATGTAAATATGAAATCCTTCTTCCCCTCAGAGTCAATAGTAAGAATTCTCTCTTGCAACAGGACTGGACCAACTCAAGACAGAAATCAAAGCCGTAGGTGTCCCACAGCTTACAGGAACTATAAGGACAGCGTGCTAAATGTACACCAGTCTCATTCAACTGACTAACATCATATCCTTTGGTTCAATGAGCAGGTCGGTGGATGACTCAGGGAGTAAGCCTGGTTTCCAGAACAAATCAGCTCATCAGTTCTGTCACAGCCTCTAACCACAGCGCTGTTAAGACTCAGACTAAGCATAATAATTATTTCAAAACATTCACATTTTCTTCCAGGCGGAGACCCGTTTTCAATTTTCTATACATACATATAAAAAAAAAAAAAAAGAGAAAGGAAAGTTTCTCCTGGAGTTGAAGAGGACTAATTTTTAGAGAAGTCAATAAAGTTTCAGCAGCAAACAACCAGCCCAGAACACTTCTCAAAGTTTTGTAAAAAGCTTCCATTTCACAAGCTGATTGAAGTGAAAAGAAAAGCTCTATAAAATTGTTAAAATAAACCTGAACCAATGAACTTAGAGAGATATCAACATCAAAGATCGCACTTAAACCAGGTGCACAGTACAGTTAGTGTTCTTGGCTGTACACAGTAACCAAATGCCACTGTTTGTTGTGTTCCCTTAAAGACTCCACCTGGGCAGAAGCTGCGTTTCACTGGGTACCACCTGGAAACACATAGCCATTGCTTCTTCTCTGAGGGCAACCGAGCATCTGATACCATAGATCCAAGGAAATAAACGGGGACAAGGAGGGAAGGCAGAAAAGATGTTTTCAGACAAAAAAGGGTGTCTGAAGATAAAGCAGGGACCAAAAGCCTTATGAGAGGACCAAGGACACCGAGGATGAAGATAAAGCCCAAGAAGGATCCTAAAAGCTAGCATGGAGTGAATTGCAATCTGGAAAGTTTTTAAATTATATAATGAGAATAAACACTAAACTTGGGACCCACCAGGCAAATCAGTGTTGCCATAATGAGATTTACTTAAAACTACCTTCAGTATGCTTTTCCAGAGCTGCAGTTTCTCTGCGCAAAAGGTTATCGTTTACTTCAGTTTACTAGCTCTTCTGAATCTTTCTGAATTTCTTTAACTATACTTGCTTTAGCAAAAAGGCAGAACTATCTCGCTTCGCTTCAGATGTGGGTCTAGAAAAGTAAAACAGAGAACATAATCTGTTATTCAGTTTACAGTGCTTATTGCTTACGTCGAATCTCTCTGTGCCCACTTCCAGTGTTACACCTCTTTCCTCTAAATAGCATATTCATTTTTACTCCATTTTTAAGTTAGGACAAGGAGTCCTGAAGCCAAGACCAGTTGCACAGATCTGTACGGATTGCTAGTCATATTGATAGGTTGAACGAACATTTCAAACAGCTAAAGTACTTTTTTATGTACAATTTAAAATTCCTTTGATATATGGTGGCCAAAGTAGTTACAGTGAGTTAAAAAGAATCACTAAGCACATACTACAGTCCCTTTATAGGATGTTATGAATGTCAATTTCCTGTAAACTTCAGGGTCTTGCAAATGTCACAACAATCTCATCACAATGACAGAAAAACTCTATTGAGACGATGCCTTTGAGTGTCTTGATGAAATGAAACAATGACTGTGACAGTCTAGAGATCTGCTCCTACTGTATAAGGTTACTGCAACAAATCTACTGGAATAGACTTCATTGTGAACTATTCACTTTAAAATCAAAGCTAGTTTGAAATACTATAGAGTATGTAAACCTACAGCTCTACAACTATTTGCTATAATGACCATAAACACTTTTTTTGCTGCTTTGTGTGTCACAAAAAATGTCCATTTTGTGATGAAAGTAAATACTATTTGCCATTCTAATTAAATATGTATGCTTATTTCATAATATAATTGCCATCAACATTAGTAGTTACCACAGAAGACAGTTCTGCACTGTAGCACCTGTAGATTTAAATGCTTTTATTTGCAATACAATTTTCTTATTCCCATCCTGTCATGGTTCACCACTACAGTCCTACCATTGCCAGTAGAATTGAGGAAAGATGAATTAGTCCATTCTTAGAGAGTCCAGCTTTTTTTTTAAAAAAACCAAAAAAACAAAAAAACACACACCACAAACTTTCCTTCCACCTTGATTTCAGTTGACACCGATGTCACAGAGAATGTCGTGTGACCTCATGCAACAGGCTGCTCTCCTGCAGTCAGACTTTAAAGTTCTTCACTTCTCAGTCCTGCCAAGGTGTGTTCCTGTCGCAGACCGCTGCAGCTGAGACAGCTGTGAAAGAGGGCACATCAGCCAGGTGAGGTTGGGCACAAAGCAGCACTAGTCAGCTTGGAAGATCTGCTACCAAAAGGATTTGTTTTCTTTGCTTTGTGTTCATTTTACTGTGTCAAGCTAATGATGTACTATTTTATTCATGAAGCAAAAAAAAATGACAAAATGCTGAAGTAAAGAAATGTCAGTCTTTACTCAACAAGTCCATCACGCTTTCTAAACAGATCCCTCAGAAGCAAAATATATATCTATATCTACAGAATACCTAGAAAACATCAAGTTCTCTAGAAACCTGGGTGCAGAAGAAAGCCCTCATTTGGCATTTTCTTCAGACCAGTGAAGTTCTCCTTAAAGATGGGCTGGTCCTCAGACGTAACAGAACTTGACTGGACCTAAGAAAAAGATCCACAGAAAAAAATCTGTGAGGAAGGATACTCAACATTATGTATATTTATAAATAAATAACTAAACAAAGCAATAGGTCTCCCATTACCGCTCTAGAAACAGTTGTCAGCTGTAAAAAAGAAATTATGACCTCCCCAAATAAATTACTAGCAATTCCCAGAAGAATTAATACCTAAATTTTGCAGTTTTGGCATTATCTTGCATTTCTCCATGTAAGCCCAAGACAAAAGGATTTTTCAAAATGCCATATGTAAACAGCTTTGCCTTTATTTACACTTACCAAAATCACCAGAAAAGAGCACGGGAAGAATGAAATTGCAAACTGTTAAGTGAAGAAAAATAGCTTAGTATAGCGGTTCCACACCAATAGTATGATCACTTTCCAACTGCTGATCATTTTGAACTGGACCATAGGTCTTAGAATCGCAGAACAAGAGTATTTATTGGTAAGTGTTCTGGATCTTATTGTGTCTCCAAACATTAAGAGAGTTATTAAACTTGGCTTATTGGTTGAATACATTTACACCCCTTGTGAGTACTTAACACTTAGGTCGTAAGACAATGTGCAGGATTATAGGTTTCTGAATAATCTTATCATTTTTCAGCTGAGAAGTTAATATCTGGAAGTCCTTATTAAGCATGAAATTACTTCTATTGTTCTTTGCTTTGAGAACTGTTTTGGGGTGGGTTTTTGTGGAGGGGTTGTTTGGGGTTTTTTTATTTCTTTTTTAAATATGGTTTGCTTTAGCAATTCAGCCACACCCTTCCATAGCTTGAAAACAAAGGTTCTAAAAAAAAAAAAAACTTGTTTATATACCTTAGCATGCAAGTGCTTCGGGTTTTTACAGAGGTTTCATGTAAGATTTGCTTTATTTTCCTATAAAGGTAATCTTCCAGTTCTACTTGCAAAATATCAAAGTATTTTAAAAGCAATAATGAATAAAATTGAACTCACCTGAGGTTACATTTCTGTCTTGAAATGTTACCCCGTTTTATCTGTCTGTTTTTAATGTTTCCACTTCTATCATCTTCAGTCTTAGGAACCAGTTTTGGAAATCTGTGAGGTTCTTTTTGTACTTCATTCATGAGCCTAACTACACGAAAGTCATCTCACTCATACTGGTGGGACTTCATCCTACTATATTGATTGGATGTGTACACGTGACACCAGCTACAACTAGCAGAAAAATACTCTTTTTTAAAGTACACTAAATGGAAGTGAGACTTCATATAAAGACACATGAAGTTTTCCCCCATATAAAGGGGAGAAAAAGAATGAAAAGAAAAAATACTTATTTGAGCTGTTGTCATCTTATACTCTCAAATATAATTTTCTTTAGAGGTATAATTATTACTAGGCTTTTGTTTACAAAGACAGCTTCTGTCTCAGAGAGTTTAAAATCTGATTACAGACAGTGAGAAAGTGAAAGATAAATTAAAAAACAGATTAACTAGTGTACTGTTTCTTTCTATTGAAACATATTTCTGGGGTAAAGAGCACCTGGATGACACAGAAATGCGTTCTCCAGAGGACAAAATGGGATTTACTTCTAACCAACTCAGGATTATTATTACTAGCCAAAGTCCACAATAAGAGGAATCCCAAATTGTTTTCTGGTTCCTAGTGTTTAACCCTATAAACCAAAGGAATTAATTGTTGCACTGACAATTGGAATGGGAGAAAACCTTTAGAACATTAGCATTTTATAGAAACAATGACCTTAAGACCAGAACATTTTCTGGGCATTAGTGCCAGAGAGCCACATCTAATTAAATTAAAGCAAGCCCCAGTCCAATTAACTATGATTTATAGAGTTTAATGCACCTATTTTGCATATTTGTATTTTATATATTACTATATTTCAGCAATTTTTTTCATTTTCCCCTCCATATAAATTCTTTTGACATCAGCAGAAACAAAAGTCTCAATGGCCCAATGCTTGTGCCTTTTTACATCGCAATTTAAAGGAACAGAACTTAAAGCCCAGTGGAGTGAAATTAACGTAATTTAATACAACATAAAGCTATTCCTCTTTATAAAAACTATTTTTGTGTGTATTTAGATTTGGTTTGGGGATCAGAGTCGGTGGACCATTAATAGATACATCCTCACAGAGCATTAAAAACAGTGCAGATTTTTCCAAGGAATAATTCACTGTTTTCCAGCCTGCAAGCAAAAGTATTAACGGATTTTGCATTTGAAATATTAGCATGTTTGTTTACACTTCTCTGAGAAACAAAGGATTGTTTCACCTTGCTATAAGATCAGGCCTAAAATTTCAGGCTGAGTTCGCTTTCTTTTTATTTTCCATTTTCTATTTTGAGCTTTTGGGAAGTGTAAAAATTTCACAATTAAGCATCCTTAGCAAAGACAGATGGATGTTACAAAAGGTTAATAACATATAAAAACTTATCAAGATAGCAGAATAGTATAGCAATAAAGAATTTCCCTATGGATAGCTCTGACAACCTGTTAAATTTGTATCACTTATTTTAATTACAAGTTTTGGAAAAAAAAAAAAAAATAGAGAAGAAAAGCAGCCATGTCTTTGTGCCTTCATAAATTCCTGAGCTGATCAGAACAGTATTTTTTTGTTTAATAAAGTAGAAAGTTTTGGGGAGGGGGTGGTGGTTTTGTTTTAATCAGCAAACAGGAACTATTGATATACAAAGTTCTCATGGGAAAGCTCCACTAGTTGCAAGTTTTTAATGCAAAAAAGAAGACTTTTTTTGGTAAAATTCTTAACAATAGGACACAGTCTGAACCCTGGAAGAATAGCAGATATTCCAGTTCTTACTCTGAACCACCTCAGCATTCAATGATGAGTTAGTCTCTCAAGTGTTGCAGGAAAACTATACAAATTATTCAATATTCACTGGACCAACAAGAAAAAGGCTGCGTTCATATAAACCCAGTGAGTAGATTATTCATGTAGGTTGTTGAAGAAGCAATCCCTTATGTGGGCTACCTGTGGTCATGCAGGGTACAGAATTATCATCTGACTCTTCCATGTCATGGGTGACTGCTTGGATTAACAGGAAAATTATATGAAGTGTTTCTGTCTCATTTTTCTGAATAATTTCAACATGAGAGTATTTTGAATGTGCTGAACACAAAACATTTTATGGAGTGGAAAAATCAAGTTAGATACAAATTTTCTGTGGGTTTTTTTTTTTCTCTCCGTTATTTACTTTTTTTTTTTAATTTACCAGTAGTGAGTAAAGTTCTATTGTCAGAAATTGAGTTCAGAGCACTAAACATACAATTAGAGAAGATTCATAATGTATTTGTCTTGTATCTTTGCTAATAAAATAGCAACATTTATAAAAATCTATAAGCAAAATAAGAAAAGGGGAAGGGAAAAATAACTAGTTTCATAACAAAATGGGTTTAAGATAAACCATAAGAAGCCTTATTTTTACTGATTTTTTTTTTCTTTGATAGCATTTTAGAGATTAGGACCAAATACAAGTTTTTATGCAGCTATATATAAAGCTGGCAATCTCACAAAACTAGTCAGAACTGTTAATATTACAAATAAGTACACCACAGACATATCCAAAATGCATACGAATCAAGCCTTTGGCAAAAAAAAATAATTACCTCAAAGCAGTGGGAATAAAAGAAGATGGATCACAGTAAGAAGGAAAAACCGAAGGAAAACACGTATATGGAAAGAAAAACCACCACCAGAAAATAGAAACTCTGGCCACACTATCATGTACAGTTTTAAATACAACCAAAACCTTTAGTATTCTTAATGTATCTTTGCATTATACTCCAAAACTGAATTAAATAAAACTATACAATAGGTATTAACAATTATAAGACTTACACTCTACGGTTTTTGTTAAATTGTTACTTTGATATGATAAGTCACCATTTAATAGTGCTATGTCAGTAGAATTCTTTGTACATTAATATTTTATTTCTCTAGATTTCCTTTTAATAAACAGTACTTTAAAATGGAAATCTAATTTACTAATTTTTGAATGGTACAAGTGCTTCATTGGCAAAAAGCATTCAGAGCCAAAATAAATGGAGAAATCTGTTTCACATTTTGTTAATATCAAAGGAAAAGAACCAACTGATGTTACTGTGAACAGGATTGGACTTCTAGAAGAGTTTTAAGTGTTTTTGCATACTGTTTTTGAATACTTCAAGACAATAACAAATCAGCAACTGCCATGTTAAATAAGTAGGTACAAATATTTTAATTTTTTTTTTTTTAGACTAATCTTATACTATCGTCCTTCAGTTATTGGAACAATGATAGAATGAATGTCAGGTGAGAAATAGTCTGTCAACTAATCCTGTGATTTTTATACCCGGACTAGCTGTATTGACAGCCAGAAGAGAGAGTAATAGTCTATGAAAGAGGGAAGAAATAGAGGGTTGTTTCATTGCTAAGTGGAACTTCAAAAATTTCTGCTTTTTATTTGTACAGCATGATTCTATTTTCAATCTAAGAATATAGTGCAAATTAAGAATATAGTCTTGGCTGTCTGGAATTTACTAAGGTAGATTTGTTCACCAGTGGATGTTGCTGAATTGCTAGCCTTTTTGGAGGATCATGTTATTTAGGTGTGCAACTCACAGCTAACCAGAGAGTTTAGAAAATTAACTTTAGACGTAAAGTTTTGAAAAATAAATAAGTTTGTTCTAGAGGCTCCAGGATGCAATAGGACACAAGTTATTAAGCTTAGCGTATGGGTAACTGAGAATGGTTTAATGCCTTTCTGGCCATTAAGTGTGCCAGAGGTCAAATTGCATGAAGCAAGTGCTCAAGCCTTTTAAGTACATAAAATATATGAAATTCCCTCAAATAAGAGCAGCCTGTGTGTTATGTATTAGATCCTGGAGATGTATCATCTTTCCTGGAATAAGCATAGATGTCACTGGGGAAACTCAAATGAGCCCTGGGAACTCTGTAACTTTTTGCTGACCATTTTAGGAGAAGACTCAAGACCTGCTACCTCTTATCTTCATAGTAAAGTATCAAGTGATTTATGGCATTAGCCTTATGAGAAATAATGGCACACTAGCAAATCAATAATATGATTGTACATGGTGCTGAGGCTCCTGGCCCAAGACCAAAAAAGCACTTCATTATGTATAGAGCTTAAAGCCAAAGGTAGTTTGTTAGACACAACAGTTACTTAAAAGCTAGATTTTCCTAAAATCTTGGCTAGATTCAAAAGTAGTCAGCTCCCATCTTGCTATCAAGAAAGATCATATATTCATTGAGTTCAGCAGTAGATCTAGAAGGAAAATCTCATGAGAAATATTATTCCACTTTGAAAATGCCAGGTCACTGAAACTAAGGCTGGTCATTAAAAAAAAAAAAAAAAAAAAAAGGAAAAGAAAAGAAAAAAGAAAGAAAAAGGGCCCCCAAGCTGTATACTGGGAATACAGACTTTTGAAGGACCTTAGGGAAAGGGGAGAGAGTAAGATAGGAGGCTGCAAAGAAATAAAATCATAACACCTTTTTTCTTACAAAAGGACCTGCACATATAGACGGGTTTCTTTGCAAAGAAAAGATGAGGGAAATGGAAAAGAAAGGAAGACAGACACTAACTCTTTCCTGATTAGTAAGACCCCGTGGTCAGAACATTCCTACAGCATAAACATGTAAATTCAAGAGCCTCCTCCAAACCAAACGTTAGGAATTTTTCTAATTCAAGGATATCTGACAGAATTATTTAACTTTAAATTTTAACATAATGAATTTCTAAAGGTCAAATAGATATGAATATCTATTTGACACATTATATCTTAAATCAGATAAAAGACCCTTTCCATTTTTTGTGAGACTAAAATTTGATGAGGTATGTTTTTAACAACTTGTACTGATTGCCTGAGCAGGAAGAAAACAAACAAACAAAACCCCCAAACTACACTACTTTCTCAGCATCTTTATAGTTCAGTATTTTCAACAGAGCTGCTCCAGTTGTTTAAAGAAGCAAACCCTGAATACATACGCTATAATGTTTAATCCCAAATTACGTCTACTTCACAAATGAACCAAAGTTAATACGTTTACTATTTCACGTGAGCTGAAGCAGTGTCAGATCAGTTTTGTCCCCTCCTGATTTCTGCCTTTGACTGCAGAATTATTGCAAACTGCCTTGAGGCATACCTTTCCTTTTAATAACATGCAGAAAATACAAACCTTCAAGTATAGTTATTGTTCAGTACTATGTAGTAGAAGAGAAGTAGCATGTAGTTATTAAGTTGTCAGACATTAAAACATGCACAAATCATAACAAATCTCATAAAATGCTGTTTACCAGCCAAAGTTTACAACTTTGGGATAAGTTTCAGGAGACAGAAACATCTAGATGTCAGAGACCCAACTGACAGCAATCTGCGTGCATGAACATTCACACAAACCACCAACACCAAAGGAAGTCAGGGGAGATACCATGCAATCAATGACAATGTCCAACTCCAAGCATGCTTCACAGCAGCTGCAAACTCAAAGGAAATTAGCTGTGGACCTGGTAAGAAAGAACAGTTCGCTTGCCTGGTTAATCAATTAAAACAATTTAACTTGCTTTAGGCGGTCCTAAAACCGACCTGATCTTCAAATGCTTCTGGACATTGTATTGCCTCATAGTAATAAGGAAGGAAATTCCTATTAACAGGGCTTTTGAGCACTACGCATGTCACCCGTCACATAGGATAAGCTTGTATACATTATAAAAAAAAGACATTATAGGCATATATATGTTTATGGGCTACAAATAATAATACAAAAAAATGGAGAGAATGCGTGCCATAGCTATTCAAAATTTGTTATAAAAATATTTTATTCTAATTACTCATTCCAATGAATAAGAAAAATTGGAATAATCAAAGCTAAATCCTCAACAGAGAGAATCACTTGAGGCCTCAGGCAACAAGTTCTGAACATATTCCAGCTTTTACTCCAGCTCCTAGTTGCCTATGTCCAAACTTGCCACACTCTATCTTCTAACATTCTTTCCAGGCTTTTTTAAGAATCTCTTATCACTGGTATGGAAACCATCTCTTATCACTGGTATGGAAATTCATCAAACATTCAAGCAACTCCAATCAAATCTACCAGAGTTTGCCACCTAAATTGCTTTACAAATCAATTCTTATGAAATTTATATTTTACCAAAACAATTTGCATTTATCTTACTCAGGGAAGCAACACTTTAGAAAATGAACAGATCAGAAAACTTGTGTAAGAGAGCTGTTTGAAATCAACGTTGCCTCAAAAAAAACAAATCTAGAAGTAAAAAAATAGATAAAATCCCACCAAAATTCAACAACATAATTTAAATAGCATTTATAGCATTAAATAGTTTTCTCATGTGACTAGAGTGCAGGGGTATCATGACAACTCCTTCCCAGCTGTCAGCTAAATCATGGAATGAAAACACACTTAATTTTTCTGCTAATCCCCAATCTAGCCTATAAGATGTAGCAGTGGCTACTCTTCATTCACTATATTTTAATAAGGGTTAAAATCCCAGACTTACCTAATGGACCATAAGACCAGGTGAGAGTGACAGAGACGTGCTGTCTGTTCAGGTGCTTCTAAACAAAAGACATGTGACAATGACAAGAAAAATTTTGTCAGTCCCTAGATATAACAACTCGTATTGTGGTGTATATAGCAACCTTCAGCATCACAATTCCCACAGTCATACAGGCAGCTTCTTTGTCACAATTTGAAAATTCTAGTTATAAGAAGCATTAAAAGCTTATATGTAGATTAAGTTAGATAACTGTTATTTACAAAAAATGCATATAAACCCCATGTACTCTTTGATCACAATGTGAATTCTTAAGTTATACTCTGTCGACATAAACATTTCTTTATCATAGTACTGAAGAGACAGGCAAATAATCCACGATGGCTGTTGTGCCTCTCTTGTCATCAGATTCTTTTAAAGAACCCCCAAACAGACTTAAATTACTGAAAGATTTAAGGAAAATATAGAGAAACATCTACAATTGTAAATGGGCAAAGAGGAAACTTTTAGACTTAAAATAAGGCATTTGGGCCCAAACACCATTAGCACAGTTAATATTACCAAGTCTTAAAGGAAACTACTAAACAATGTATATAATGTATAAAATAACACCATTAAATCAAAATGAAAAAAACTCTGTGATTAGTATCTCTACTTTTTTCTTAATTTAGGCATTATTTCTCTCAAAATTGAGTCAAAACCAGTAAACACCCATATGTCACCATTCATAACATGCGAAGTAAGTTATTGTGTGAACAAACCTTGGAGTCAAGCAGAGTAGTTCTGAATAAATTATCACTATTCAATATAAGTAAAACTGACATGGACTGGCTCAAGGGTAGTGACGGAAAGAATATTTTTCCAAAGGAAAGACAAACATACAGTAATGAATTGACAGGCTAAAAATGTATGTCTATGGATGAGACACCTACTCTGCTGCTTTGTATTATCCCCAAAGGTAATGGTACCTGAACTTTGAACAAAGTGTTCTCTCAACAGGGAACAACAGTTAAAATATGTTTTTAGATTTAAATTTCATCCATCTTAACCGACATATTCTGTTAATCTTTTTCAGTAGGCATATATAATTATTTTTTACGCAGGCAACCACTTATTAGTAACTTGTATATAGTCAAGATGGGAACTAATGAATATTCAAGTGTTTTAGCTTTATTTCTTCTTCTGTATTTTAATAGTAGTGCACTGTGCGGTACCTACAAATACAAGTACTCTTATGAACACTTGAAATATTTATGACTGCGGGCTACATCTAATAAATAAATAAAAACAAGTAATTTTCACAGTTTGCCCCAAACGTATCCACTTATTTTCATGCACAACCTACAGTGTAGATTCTTCCTATAAAGAAAAATTGTAGCTTACAGAAAAATACAGATACACACTGGCACGATGATAGGACTGAAGCAAAAAGATTTATGAAATTTAGGGATTAAAAAACAACAGTTTTGGCTAACCTGGAATTATTCACATGCTTTTTATCAGTATGTTATGTGGGAAAAGTGTTTTTATTTAACGTTTACCAGTTCATTAAGGAAAACCAAAACAGAAGTAATTATAATTAAATCAAAAAGCACTGTACATTACAGAGGTCATGAAACAGGGCCCTGTCCCAATTTCTGAACAACTGTCAAGAAAGAAAGAATACAGTTGAAATCTTGCCTGACTCCTCACTATTTTGATGATAAACATAATTAATGAAGGATCATTTTTCTGTGTGCACTGCCAGATTTCCACATCCAGCCCCATGAACTGAATAGTATTTTACAAATTTAGATACAGCAAACTACATTTAAGGTCTTGCACAAATTTCTTTTTCTCAGTTTCTCAATGGTTAAGATGATGGTAAGATGATTATGACACTTTTTTCGAATTTTAATGCATCGAATAATGGTGTGTTCACAACCATATGGAAGAAAAATTACATATGTGGTTAGACATTCCCTTTCAATAGAGCTGTCAGCCTGCCTTGCAAAGGTCACATCACTGATAGGAAATACCAGACAGAAGAGGAAGTCATTGCACGCATCAGTCATCTCATCAAAATAATGATACAAATCGCAATATGTCCGTTTTTTTATATCGCTATTATTCACATTATTACATGTTTTTACGTTCACTTGGCATCCAGCCTGCCTTTTTCCTTACTATATTTTCAGAGACTGAGAAAAAGCAATCATATTCTATCTCTATTCACTATTTTTCTATTTCTTACTGGGAGATCACATTCTGCATGTTGTTGCTGAGGAACTGTCTTTTAAACTGGAAAATACCTGTAGAAAGAGAGTAGATGTGTGCCAAGCCCAGAATCTACTGGAAAATACCTGTAGAAAGAGAGTAGATGCCAAGCCCAGAATATCCAACTCTGTTTAGTTTAAGGCAGTGAGTCCCACAGCAGCAGGAGGTACTGAGCCCATTCCAACACTCTTGGGAAAGCTACAAAGATGGACTATGCCTAGAAATTGCGTTTTACCAAATCACGTTCAACACAACTCCTATACCTCTTTTACTACTGATCTCAATCATAAGTTTCTCTGTTTTGCACATGGAGAAATCCTCTTTCAGCATTCAAAACCAGGAACTTTCCAGATGTGAGCAGTGGAAGCTACACCCAAACCAAAAGCTTTCCAAGCACCAGCTTTTCTTGTTTCAGGCTAATAAAACATAGCTATTGCTTTTTAATCAAATAAGGATTTCCATATGTTCCAGTGGTTGCCCACGTCCTTTACTGGCAAACAAAGAATGTTATCCCATCCCATATTATGTTTCCTTATTTAAATATGTACTCACCCAAATCCCACAAACACAAACAATGCATACTTTGGTTTGCAAAGAGCTGATTTTCTGGGTGAATTATAATAAGGAGTAAGAAAAAAGCAGTCTAAATGCAAGTGAACACAATGCAAAGTTAAAAAAAAAAAAGTCACATTTTAGCTTTTCAGTTCTATTTTAAAACTGTGTTTCATGAAGGTAATGAAAGGATATACACTGCCGATTTACATCTAATTACTGTAACATTCTGTTACCTTTGGAACTGCCGTTTTAAGGTAAAAACTTATACAAGAAAACTCCAGGAAAATGGTTTGTCAGTTTAGTAAAGCCATGCCACTCTTTTGGTTTTTTTCCCCACGTTTGTGATGCAAAATTGCTCTCTCTCTTAAGCGTTTCTGTAAACAGTAGTGAATTTGTGAATATAGAGAAGTTGAAAAAGCTTGACATAGAACAAGTAGACTACTGAGTTAGGTACCGTCTGGTATGCACTTTACTACCCTTTCTGCAGTTTCATCTTTAAATAGGAGTATCTACCAGAGCACCCACAAAGAAAGGCTAGAGAGGTAAACACAACTGAAGAAAGGTAATGACAATCTTAGTCATATTAGACATATTAGTTATAGTGAATAAACAGAGAAGGAAGGCAGAAACAAAAATAATAAAGTAAAAATTTAGACCATACTTCAGACAATGCAGAAACTTGCAATAGTCAACTCACTGTGACAACTGATCATTGCTTTAGTTGTCTGTGAGATAAAAGGAGCAAAGAAAAACGCTCAAGTGTTCCTGAAAACCTTTTTTCATTTTTTTTCTTTTCTTTTTTTTTTTGGTCTAAGGATTATCTGAAGCTTTCACTCTTTATATATCCACACACACATGTCCCTATATAGGTGTACATACACACATATATGTTGGTGAAATATATTTAAGTAAACTCTAAATGGATAACTCTAAGTGCAGTTTTAATTAAGGGACATAAAGACAGTGCATCCATCACCTTCTAATTGATTTAGTTTCCAAGCTTGTCTGTAGGAGTCATCTAAACTGAAAACTGTCAAAGGAAGAGTACCAGGCAAACTAGGTCACTTTATTTGATCTAATATGCAATTTCCTACAAATTAGTAAATTAATATGAAGATTAAAACTTTCTGGGAATAATACGAACCACCTCCTCTCATTCTCCACCTTTGAAGCCTGCCTTACTCTATTTTTCCTTCACTTTCAAGTTCCTTGTCTTGCTTCCCCCTCAGTTTCCACTGCCCTCAAAATTTTTGTTACCTTTCCCTGATCTAACAAAGAAAGTGTGGATTAATCTCATTTGCCCCTGCAAGAAATTGTTTCTTTTGTATAGAGGCTTGGAGTGAGCAAACTTGACTAACAATAACACATCTGCGCATAACTTGCATGGGTTTTACTACATACATTGACTGCTCTTACAATATTTTTTTTTCTCTTGGGTGTGATCTCTAAGCAAATAGGAACAACTGGCAGAGTTTCCACATCCAAACTAAAAATTGTGGGGGTTTTTATTTTTCTTTAATCAGTCCTAAGCAACTTAGCAATTTGATAGCATCTGGCTTGTGACTACATCACCCTGCTGATAGCTTAAAATTTACATCAAGGTCATATTACTCCCAGGACAGTATAAATGCAAAGACTCTGGACTTTGACCATTCCCTTTAAAAATGTGAAAGGAACTGCAATGAGAAAAAGGACACAATTTCCTCACAACAGCATTTTTTTGCATCACCCAATGATAACTAGACAGTGATTACCTTTTCTAACAGCTTATTTTCCTGTACAGGACCAGTATTCCCATCAGGAACCATTACCACCCTAAACCTTCCCGTCTCAAGTATTTAGAGATGTTCACTTTGCTGAAATAGAAAATGGGCTTTATTAACACAACAAAAACCATGTAAGAAAGAGAGCAGCAATGGGTGGGGAGGTGGGGTGGGGAGTGGTGCAGCATCAGGGAAGCTTCTTAGAAGACTTTATGAATTTGTACATGAATGCTTTCATTGCTACTATCACGCATAGGAAAAAGAGAGAAGAAATTTCAGAGTATATTTTTTCCACAGTGGCTAGTTATAGCGCAGCAAAACAGAGGAAAAAATGCTTTGGAGACATTAAAAGATATAAAACCATAAACAGAATATAATACGTGAAATAGTCGAGGATCACTTATAATAATTACACAGTACATGAAATGACAATATAAAGCATGATTGGATCTAATGGGGATGAAGTCAATGGTTGGCTATCTGCTCA